TTATGGTTTCTACATAGCAATGGGAAGGAACCAATTACAATTTTACACAACATCAAGGGTGACTCTCACAACATCACGCTGAGTGAGAAAACGCTAGTCACAAAACAGTTCAAAAACAGGTAAAACTGAGCTGTGGTGTTTGAGAGCTAGATGGTGGTTATCTTGGCTGGGTGAGATGCTGGTAACCTTTTTTTTTTTTTCTTTTCTTGATTTGGTAGCTCGTTTCATGGGTGTGTTTACTTTAACCTTATCAAATTGTACAGTCATTTGTGCACTTTCGTATATGCATTTATATTTCATGAAAAGTTAAAACAAAAATGTGGGCCAAAGTCTCAGGCTGAATCAGGGCTTTGGGCTTCTAGTTTGCCCTATAATACATAGATTTTTTAAAAAAGAAAACAGTAGAGAAATTTTTAAAAAACAAACTTATACTTCAAAATGCAAGTAACCCACTCTATATGCTTTCTTTAGAAGCTCCTACAAAGCCCGTTAAGGAATTGGTCTTTCCTTCTGGGTATTACCTAGCTTCACATTTACCATTAGATGTGATTTAATACTATTGTTCATTTTTGTTCTCAAAACTAGAAAAATAAATTCCTATATACCATATTATAAGCCATAACTATCAATAAAGAGTACAGAATTGGAAACCATAGGTGCAGGAGAACCCAGAGGCAATTTCAAAGTAGGTTGTAGTCTACTTTTAGGCTTAGAGGCTCATAAAACAGAACAGAAATTTCAAGTAGTTGTGAAGAGGCAGTAGGAATCATACTGGGTTGAAATAATCTATCCAGGAAACAGGCGTGTCTTAGCCTGGATCATGGGCCATAGATACATAATCAATCAGATATAAAAGATAGGTTTTAGGGGCACCTGGCTGGCTCAGTCGGTGTAGCATGTGACTTTGTTGTTGAGGTTGTGGGTTCAAGACTCATGTTGGGTATAGAGATTACTAAAAAATAAAATCTTTAAAAAAATAGGTTTTAGAATCTATGTGTTCTGGAGAACTTACCTATAGTCACTGCATAAGCACATCCCAACAGTGCTTCAATTCAGGTGACTGATGGAGTTAGGGAAGCTGTTTTAGGTAGGGAAGACTACAGACTATGACAGATGTATGTATGCTGAGGTGTGGCTCTGGGCGGGGGGCGGTGCCTCGACAAATATGATGGTCTCAAGTTGAGTTACTGACATGGTAGAAAGTAGAATTACTGACATGACAGAATTTAGGAACCAAATCACTTTGGCTCCCAAAAGCAAGGGCTAGGGAAGTAGTAGTATGGAAAAGGAAGTTAGAGGAAAATAGAACCCTCTAGAGGAAGTCAAATGGTATACATCAGGACTAAGAAAGTTGTTCCCATATTGAGAAGGAATCCTGGAAAGTTCTCAATTAGAGCTGCTTAAGAGAAATTCCAGGGGCAAAGAGTCCAAATCTAACAACTGATCCCCGTCTAGTGTAACAACCTTGGTTGTTATTGTAATACATTACAGACTATGTAAGAATTTCCCCAAGAGGTGGTTCGCAGCCGCCGCCGCGCCGCCGTCGCTCGCTAACGCCAGCGCCGCCTCTCGCTCGCCGAGCTCCAGCCGAAGGAGAAGGGGGGTAAGTAAGGAGGTCCCAGCACCATGGCTCGTACCAAGCAGACTGCCCGCAAATCCACCGGGGGTAAAGCACCGAGGAAGCAACTGGCCACAAAAGCCGCTCGCAAGAGTGCGCCCTCTACCGGAGGGGTGAAGAAGCCTCACCGCTACAGGCCTGGCACCGTGGCACTCCGTGAAATCAGACGTTATCAGAAGTCCACTGAACTTCTGATCCGCAAACTCCCTTTCCAGCGTCTGGTGCGAGAAATTGCTCAGGACTTCAAAACAGACCTGCGCTTCCAGAGCGCGGCCATCGGTGCTTTGCAGGAGGCCAGCAAGGCCTACCTGGTGGGCCTTTTTGAAGACACCAACCTGTGCGCTATCCATGCCAAACGTGTAACAATTATGCCAAAAGACATCCAGCTAGCGCGCCGCATACGTGGAGAGCGCGCCTAAGAAGCCACTCGGGTGGGAAACATTTCATTCTTTAAAAAAAAAAAAAAGAAAAAAATTTTCCTCTTCTTCCTGTTATTGGTAGTTCTGAACGTTAGATATTTTTTTTCCATGGGGTCAAAAGGTACCTAAGTATATGATTGCAAATGGAAAAATAGGGGACAGAAATCAGGTATTGGCAGTTTTTCCATTTTCATTTGTGTGTGGATTTTTAATATAAACGCGGGGACATAAAGCATTAATGCGAGTCAAAACGCTTCGGTGAACACGTTTCAGCAGTTCAACTTTATAACAATTATAAATAAACCTGTTAAATTTTTCTGGACAAAAAAAAAAAAAAAAAAAAAAGAATTTCCCCAAGAGGTATCCTAGGGGTGAGGGAATCTGTAATCAACTGTACTAGTCTGAAAATGCAGGCTAGCCTAGTATCTGACTTTCCTTGCAGAGGACTATTTCCTCAGGAGGGTTGCCCAAAGTGAATCACAACCTCATGCCTATTTTCAGAATTCAACCTTTTCTTCAACCTTTCCACCTTAATAGTGCTAAAACCTGGACCAGTTATTATTCAGTGAACTAGTAATTCTGTATTTCACACTTGATTATATTTATAATCAGATGTTACCGAAACTAGATTTCCCACCACACAGACTTACCTTAGTGCCTTTCATGAAATGGGTAAAAATACCACCACTTCAGTGGCAGACCACCCGAACTGAGTATCAATTTCCAAGACATTTGTATTAACATTAGTCTTCCTTCCCAAATGTGGACAGAAGCATGTAAGGAACTTCATGTGAAGTGACTTTGAATCTTGATTAGTCAAGTGTACTGTCCACTTTTTTACTTCAGAATAACTGGGAGTTTGTTTTGTTTTGGGGGTAGGAATAGGGAAGGAGCCTAGCAATTGAAAGGAGAAGAACAAGGCAGGGACATAACTAAGGTACGACCGTTTGTACAGTTGACTCCAGGGCTTTTGTGGAAACCACATGGCCCGAAGGTTTGGGGCATTTACCTTCTACCAGCTAACCTCCAGTCCGGCCCCGGATTCCTGATGGAAATTCAGAGAAGCTGACGTACAACTCGGCTTTTCCCAGTGGGCTACTCTCAGGAGAGCCCATGCTGTTGAGTCTGCCTAGCTCTGGAGGCAGAGGCAGCAAGAAACTTAAGGATTTTTTCCACTCTTGTATAAATAAGCCCAACTACTTGAAATAGAGTACAAACAAAACAAAACAGTGAGCCAAAAATGTTCTCCCCTAAATTAGTTTAGGTATACACCTTCTCCAGGAAGTACTCCCGTATTTGCTGACCCCCATCCCTAAGCTGGGTCAGGCCCCTGATCCTTTGTTCTCAGCTCCCAGCCAGGAGCTCTGTCGCCACACTTAGCCCAATATGATGTGTCGGATTCTCACTAGAAAAGGCTTAACTTTGCTGTGCTTCTTGGAGTCTGCCGAAACCTATGGATTAATTTGCAGAATAATGTTTTTCAGTGCATGAAAGAAAATACGTAGGATTACAAAAGAAACCAGTTATATTGAAATATAGTTCTTAACTCCAGACAACCTGTGAAGAAGTCCTTGAGTGCAGGAACTCAGTCTTCATCTCTGTACTGCCAGTGCCTAGCACAAAGCCTGGCACGTAGATGGTACTTATACATGTTTATTTCATGAAGGAACAGAGATATAGACGGCTGCTGCCAAGTCAGCCTGAGGAATGATTCATTGCAACTGCTTGTGCACATACCAATGGCTTGCATATTTCTCACGCTGTTTGAGATCATTTAGACCAGGGCTCTGAGGAAACCCCCCCACAGCAGGTGCCACAGCAGCTAGCAATGACAGGCTATTGGAAGACCAGGAAAACAACAAAGCTCGTGTATTTCCACCAGCCGGAATATTCAGATAGTGCAAGTAAACAGGCTCTGTCTTTAGGAGGAGGAGATCTCTTGACTTTGGAAGCATGGTGCTCACACTGTTTTTAAAACACTACCAACAACAGCTGACAGAAGAGAGGAACCTGAGCTAGTGGGTGGGTGTTCTCCAGGGCTCCCCCTCTGTCCTGAATCGGACCTTTCATCTCTGGGAAAGAGAAAAGTGTCCCTGAAAACCACGACAGGGATGACATGTGCCTTCCTAGGTTCAAGTAGCAGTTTGAGGCTTAGACTGAAATTTTGCTTTTGTTTATGTACCATCAGAAAACCTAAAGAAGCAATAATAAAAGCCACTTCCCTCGCTAAAGGGCCGAAGGTTTGTTCTAAGCTGATCGCTACATCTATTAAACATTTTGAAGAGAAAAGTAAAACCCCAGACAATTTTAAAGCTGAAAGCCACAAATATATGGGGTTAAGAAATCTCACCCTTAAGGCTTTTAAGATTGGCCCTCTGAAGTTAGAGGGCTTCTCTAGCTATTAAAGCCATCTGAAAGACGGCAGAACGCAGTCTTCACTTGCTTGACAACAGGGTTTCCAACATGTGTTGGAAGAAACATGGCTTCAGGGGGTGCTCTCTTTAAAAAAAAAAAAAAAAAAAAAAGGAAACTATAAGTCAAAGTTTTGTTTTTAATTAAAAAAAAAAAAAAACCCTCCCACTCCTAAGGTGTGTGCTTTCTTTTTTGACCTCTTTTTCCTTTTAAACTCTCTGCAGTTTCCCTATATTTTTCCTAGTGCAGTAAACAATGCAATCAAAGAAATAAAAACCAGGGTCCACTCTTGCCCCAAACACTGAAAATGGTCAAAGAGCAGGAATCACAGCACAGAAAATGGCCCAGCTCTAAATATACAAACAACATAAAAAAAAATAACAACCCCCCCCAAGATATTATTATTGATATTCCTGGTACATTTCCTATAATATAATATTGCAGACAATGCTTCTTTCCCAGGGAGTCCAGCTCGCTCAGGAGGAGACATCTACTTGGTGCCTCAGGATAGGCTGGGGCTCTTGAGTCTTCCCTGTCAAGCCTACGGGGTTTTTTGTTTTGTTTTGCTTTTGTTTTTTTTCTCATGAGCTCAATATCTCACAGAAACATCTGTGGTATAAATGAATCTAAAAGAGGATGAAGGCAGGCAGGCACCTGTCACTGTTCTGCAAATCAGCCAAAAAGCTGAAGAGCGTGGGATCCAGGAGACAGATGCCATTAACAGTTGAGGGATGGAGGGGAGAACAAGAGGAAGCACCAAATGAGTGGCTGCTTTTGGTTCCAAAGCCAAAAATGGGCCCCACCAAAAAGGGCAGCTGGTCTGGATGAGGAATAACCCTGCACCCAAGTCATGCAATAAAAACAATGGCCTTGGAGCCCCACCCCCATGACAGCCACAGTCCAGGAACCAGAGACATTTACACCACATCACACAGTTTGCAAATGAATGGATCTATCCTAGTTTGGGGTGGGGGAGGGGGTTAAGTGCTTTGACAAAGTTGGGGAAGGAGGGGTAAGTGGGCTTGAATCACAAAGCACAGTTGTGACAACCCAGATTTCTATTTCTGCAAAGCCACAGGCCCCAGGCCCCTGATGCCACTTGTTCCATGGAGACATACCCTTCCACTTATTACTGGCCTCTCCTCAAAATGGCACCCTTGGTCATAACCCTTACAGATGTCAAGAGGCATCAGTTGCACTTCTGTAAGTAAGATAATTTCCTTGCCCCATCCTGGCCAAAGCACTTCTCTTTTCAAGCTGCTGCTGCTATGCCGCCTTCCCCTCCCAGCACAGTTGAACTTGCTTTTGTTTCAGAGTTTTGCACTGGCCTCTGAGGGCCCTTTCCAGGATACGAAATAAAGTATCCTTCTGCATCCGTGTGTGGGTGGGTTGCCTTCCAGTGTCAGATCTGCGTTCCAGAGTTTGGTCAACGCATCTCTACAAAAATAAAACCGCATGCGTACACAGACAGACTAGCCTGGAAAGGGCTTTCTGGACAGGATTTCTGGTTGTCTTGATGTCTCCCCTAAAAAAACTAACTTTCTTTGTGTAAAAGGATTTAGACATTGAGTGACCTACTCTCAATTTCTGGAAGGACAGCTTGTTTTTGTCCGTTTTTCAATGACGGGGAGGGAGGGACCCAACATTTTCAGTTACAACAATGAGATTTTGTTTTTAAAAAAAGGATCCTATGTGGAAATGAGTGGGACAATGATAAAAATAAACAAATAATTAAAATTCCAAACCAAAGCATATCTCCTGGCCCTGAGATCCCCAGTTAATCCTCTAAGACCACAATCTCCACATTGTGGACTTGATGCTGGTGGTCTTCCATCTCAGCCACAACTTTCTCCTCAGTCCTCAGCTCTGTCTCCAAAATGACTGCTTTGCCCTCAGTATCCTCAGCCTCTGGGTCTGGGGCTGGGTCAATCTCAATGATGGTCTGCCCATCCTCCGAGGTGCTTTCAACAGCTTGGATCGCCGAGGTCAAGCCGGACTCCATGGCCACCAGCTCCACTGGGCTCACCATGGTGGTCATGTTGCCCAGGGTACTCCCATCCTGCATGGCAGTGGAGCTCAGCAGTGCCAAGCTAGATGAAGGATGGATGGTCACTGTGTCTGGTGAGCTGCTCTTGGCAGAGGAGACCACTGTGGCATAGCGGAAGAGCTGAGGGCCAGAAGGCAGTGTGTGAACAGTCACAGGACTGGAGCCCTGGCTGAGGGTGGCCACTGGAATATTGCCCATGGAAAATGACTGGCCCACTGGGGTGATGGTGATAGGTGAGATGACTGTGAACTGAGGCTGTTGGACCGGAGGAGAAGGACTCAGGACTGTGGTCGAAGCCGGCCGCTGGAGCCGGGGCCTTTTTGGAGGCTTAGGAGTGCTCACGGGCATCAGTACCACATTTTGAACCGTCTGGGATTTCAGCCTGTGATCCTGAGCTTGCTTCTTCTGCTCTTCCAACTGGCGTTCCAACTCTGTGGGAAAAAAAGACAGACTTTGTGTGGAGAGAAGTATATTCCTGGGAAGAGTAAACGGAGTCAGGGAACCTGAGGTCTTGTCCTGGTTTTGCCGCTGTGTAGCTTCATTGTTCTCAAAGCAAGAAACCAGACTGGATGATTTAAAAAATCCTTGCAGCCATTACATTTCATTGTTTGATTATAGGCAGGGCATCCATTCAGAATCTTTCTCAGGCTGTGATCCTACTATAGCTCAACCCTAGAAGCACTTGTGGCATTTTGTCACCTGTTACCAAAACGCAAAACAAAGAAGCCTCCAGTTGACTTTACAGCTTATAGATGCCCCACTTGGGTCTACAGATGAAAATAAGGAATATTTGCACAATCCCTTTGGAACTAACATGGGGCTACAGAGGAGCTGTAGGGGGCCGCTCTCCCCCCACTCAAAAACAAAACCAACAACAACAACAACAACAACAACAAAAAAAACCCCAGTGATTCCCAAACTGTTTTTCAAGGCAGGATCATCTTACTGGTAACCTTAGTCTACCAATGGTCTTAGTCTACCATTAGCACCCAGAGAAGTCTACAGAAAGTTACAGAAGTCTCTAGGAATTATAGAACTAAAGGAGGCTTTAGAGTTGTAACATATTCATTTTTTTATGTTTATTTTTGAGAGACAGAGAGAGAGAAAGCAGGGGTCGGGGGGGGGTAAGTACAGAGAGAGACAGGGACAGAGGATCCAAAGTGAGCCCCATACTGACAGCAGTGAGTCCTATATGGGGCTTGAACTCATGAACCATGGGATCATGACCTGAGCTTAAGTTGGACACTTAACCAACTGAGCCACCCAGGCGCCCCTCGAACACATTAATTTTCAGAGACCCAGGGAGGTAAAGTGACTTAAGATCTCAGAGCTTAGGCAAGGCAAAAGTCTTCTGATGACCAACATGGTGGCTTTCCCACCACAAGATGTCTATCACTATCCCTCTCCCGATGTACAATCCAATCCTGGTGACCACTGGCGAGTCTGATCCTATACCAGAACTTTTTCTATTGCTTAGTACCTGAGAAGCATTCAACAAATAATCAGTTACAACTGTAGAGCACTTTGCTCCCTATGAAACACCAAGAACAAGTCAATTCCTTGTTTGGCAGAAAAAGGAGTAGGTAGGAATCAAGAACATTCAAAAATTTTTAAATACTGCTGTACAAGTTACAAAATACTGCATGTTTTCCATTGTTAGTAGTAAGCAAAGAAATGTGAACCTCAAGAAGATACAACCACATCTATAATTTTTTTAAAAAGTTAAATCAAAGAATATTTTAAGTAATAACATCCAATGTTGGTGTGCTCAAAATGGTGACATAAGTTGGTATAATCTTGGAAATTTGGCAACAGGTCACAAAAATCCATAAAAAAATTTTTTAATACCATTTTACCTGAAACCTAAAGCTTAGTACTGGGAAGTAGTTTATTTTTTTATTATTATTTTTTAATGTTTTATTTATTCCTGAGAGAGACAGCATGAGCAGGGGACGGTCAGAGAGAGAGGGAGATACAGAATCTGAAACAGGCTCCAGGTTCTGAGCTAACTGTCAACACAGAGCCCGATGCAGGGCTCAAACCCATGAACCGTGAGATCATGACCTGAGCCAAAGTCAGACGCTTAACCGACTGAGCCACCCAGGTGCCCCAGTCCTGGGAAGAAGTTTAAAAAAAATTTTTTTTAATGTTTATTCATTTTTGAGAGGTGGGAGGAGAGGCAGAGAGAAAGGGAGACACAGAATCCAAAGCAGGCTCCAGGCTCCAAGCTGTCAGCACAGAGCCCGATGCAGGGCTGGAACCCACAAACTATGAGATCATGACCTGAGCCAAAGTCAGATGGTTTACCCAGCCACCCAGGCAACTCAATCCCGGGAAGTAGTTTAAAAGAACATAAAAAAGAGGCACCTGGGTGGCTCAATCCATTAAGTGTCCAAATCTTCATTTCGGCTTAGGTGATGATCTCATGGTTCATGGGTTTGAGCCCCACATCTGGCTTCACACTAAGCCTGTGGAGCCTGCTTGGGATTCTCGCTCTCCATCCCTCCCTCTTTGCCCCTCCCCTACACATGCACACATGCGCACTCATTCTCTCTTGCTCTCAAAATAAATAAACTTTAAAAAATATATATGTATATATAGGGTATAAAAATAAATTTAAGACAACATAAGTTTTTCTTCTCTTACCAAATAATCATTGCCTTTTGGCTTCATGACGAACTATAATATATTTTATATCATTTGAAGGGTGATAATCCATACCTCTAACTTGTTTTATATCTTTCACCTGCCTTACCTCCACCAAAACCTTTTCTGAATTCTCTCCAGGTGTAAGTGACAGTTCCCTTTCTTCTTCCACCATATCTACTATATGCCTCAGTTACAAAACTGACTGCTTTTTACATTTATTTCTAGGTCTGCTTTCCCTTGAATTAGTGGGGCTGTCTTAGTCAACAAGATATATATAAAACCTAGTCTGGCAATAGTAATTACTTGATAAAAAGCGTTAAATTATTTACGTGCTCATAAGTTCTGATTACTGCAAATAATGGAGAAGGTGTTAACTTTATATCTATCAAAAGATGCACTATCAACAATGTAACAAAGACAAAGGCCAATTTGTTTCTTCTGCCACTAATATTATTGGATTAATGGAGCAATTGAACAGACATCTTAATCCTTAAGATGCAAAAGAAGGACCATTACAAGGAAGGAAGGGAAGGAGGAAAGAAGCCAGTCCCAAAAGAAGTCCACGAAGAAATGGCAATGTAATATCACCTAAGAAGAGACAGAAGTTATACATACCTGTCAGAGTATAGAGAAACTGCTCTTCTCCCTGCTCTACTTGGTTCTTCCTGTTGTCCAAAACCTTCTTCACTGTATCCATCAAGCCAAATGTATGTGCTACATTGTTGAGAACGGCAGCATCTATTTAAAAACAAAGACATGCCTGTCAAGTTAAAACAGAAGTGTTCCCCCAACTTTCTGTTGTTCTTCATATAAATATGAAACAGCCCAGGAATGATGGGACTATTCTAATTGCATTTTTTTTTAATTAGCAAAGATTTATCACATGTAAAATTAACTTTGATTTAATTATTATAAACTTATACATCTTTCCATATAAATAAATACAAAAATAAGAAAAAAATCCTGCATCTGGCTATAACTTATGACTTTTGGTTTAGAAAACATGGTCACTGTGCTAGATGCAACTAAATTTGAATCTTGGTTTTACAATTGCTTCTTATCTATCTGAACTTGGATAAGTCATTTCAGTCCTTAGTTTCCTTATCTAAAACAAAGGGGATTAACAATACTTCCTTGGCAAGACAGATATGAAGATTAGAATTATATTTTAAGTGTCAAACATGGGAACTGGCAATGCAAGGTTATTCATAGTATTATCTCTGTTCCTCTTTACACAAAACCTCTTGAAAGAGTTGTCAGTAGTTGTGGTCATTACTTCCTTAACTCAGACCACTTCTCCACCTACAACTCTCTTCCAGGGTCATCTCATCCAGGTCCACGCTTTTAAGTAACACATATATGCTAAGAACTTCCACATGCAGGTCTCCAGCCCTAACTTCTTTCCTGCGTACCAGATTAATAATTCCATCTAGCTGAGTGACATCTCCATTTGAAGGCCTCATAAGCATTTAGCAAGTCAAAATTAATTTTCCTTCTTTCTTCTTCTTCTTCTTTTTCTTTTTGTTTTTTTGTGGGGTTTGAACTTACGACCCTAAGATCACAAGTCACATACTCCAACTGAGCCGGCCAGGTGCCCCAACTCAAAACTAATTTTGAGGGGCACCTGGCTGGCTCAGTTGGTTGTGTCCAACTCTTGATTTCAGTTCAGGTCATCATCTCACAGTTTATGGGATCAAGCCCTGCACTGGACACTGCTCTAATAGTGCAAAGCCTGCTTGGGATTCTTTCTCTCTTCTCTCTTTCTGTCTCTCTCTAAATAAACAAACTTAAAAAAAATTAAAACAACAAAAAACTAATTTTGAGGGGCACCTGGCTGGCTCAGTTGGGAAAACAGACAACTCCTGATTGTAGGGTCTTGAGCTCAAGCCCCACATTGGTCATGGAGTCTACTTGGGGGAGAAAAAAAAAAGCAGGGGAGGCCTGGGGGGCTCAGTCAGTTAAGTGTTTGACTTCGGCTCAGGTCATGATCTCACGGTTCCTGAGTTCAAGCCCCACACTGAGCTCTATTCTGACAGCTCAGATTCTGTGTCTCCTTCTCTCTCTGCTCTCCTCCCACCTTCTCTCAAAATAAACATTTAAAAACAAAAATAGGGGTGCCTGGGTGGCTTAGTCGGTAAGCTTCTGACTTTGGCTCAGATCATGATCTCGTGTTGGTGAGTTCGAGACCCACATCAGGCTCTGTGCTGACAGCTCAGTGCCTGGAGCCTGCTTCAGATTCTGTGTCCCCCTCTCTCTGACCCTCCCCTGGTCATATTCTCTCTCTCTCTCAAAAATAAACAAACATTTAAAAAAGAGACAGAAACAAAAACAAAAACTAACTTTGATGTCCTCTCCCACTGATCTTCATCTCAGGAAATGGTATCATCATTCATGGCTCAGAGCAAAAATATATGAGTCCTCCTGGATTTCTTTCTCTTTTACCCTATATCCAATCCGTCAGCAAGACTTGTCAGTTCCACACTCAAAATATATCCCCAGTATGATTACTTCTTCCCAGGTCTACCACTATCCTAATCCATGCCACCATAATCTCTTATCTGGACCAATTCATTCAGGAGTCTCCCAAGTGATTTCTTGCCTCATAGTCTGTTCTCCATATAGCAACCAAAGTGATCTTTTAAAAATATAAAAAACATAATAAAAAATATAAATAGGGGCACCTGGGTGGCTCAGTCAGTTAAGCATCTGTCCTCAGCTCAGGTCATGATCTCACAGTTTATGGGATCAAGCCCCGGGTAGAACTCTGTGCTGACAGTGCAGAGCCTGCTTGGGATATTCTCTCTCTCTCTTTTTCTCTCTCTCTCTCTGTCTGCCCCTCCCCTGCTTGCACTCTCTCTCCCTCTCTCTCAAAATAATTAAATAAACATTTAAAAAATACAAATGCAAATTTAAAAATATAAATAAATCTTAGGTNTCACTATGATGGCTTACCATTACCTTAAAAATAAAACCAAAGTTCTAACCAAAGCTTATACAAACTGTTCTCTTTATTCCTCTCCTGCCTCATCACCTATCAGTCTCTTGTATCTTATTTCACTGTGGCAGAATCAGTGCTTCTATAATGCTTTAAACCTATCAGGCCTACTGCAGCTTCAAAGTCTTTGTTCCTTCTGCCTAGAATGTTCCTTCTCCCAGATCATCACATGGTTAGCTCCTTCAATTCAGGTCTCTGCTCAAATGCCACCTCCCTAGAGAGACCTTCCTTGACTACCCTATCTAAAAGAGTCATCCCTGGGGCACCTGGGTGGCTCAGTCTGTTCAGCGGTTAAGGTTAAGCGTCTGACTTCAGCTCAGGTCATGATCTCATGGTTTGTGGACTTGAGCCTCGCATCGGGCTCTGTGCTCACAGCTCAGAGCCTGGAGCCTGCTTCAGATTCTGAATCTCCCTCTCTCTCTCTCCACCCCTTCCCCATTCATGCTTGCTCTCTCTCTCTCTCTCTCTCTCTCAAAAATAAACAAACATTAAAAAAATATTTTTATATAAATAAGTCATCCCTGCTTTCTTCATTACTTGCCTTTTTTTTTTTACTCCAAGCACATAAAGTTTTACTGTAAAGTTTAAGTGTGTTTATATAATGTATATTTATATAAAGACACAATAAGACAATAATAAGACACAACTAACAAATCTAAGAACTCACTGACACACAAGCTTATGAGGTATCATTATGAACCCCCCCTTTTTTAAAGTAAACTCTACCCCCAACATAAGGCTCAAACTCAAGACCCCAAGATTAAGAGTCACATGCTCCACTGATTGAGCCAGCCAGGTGCCCCATCATCATGACCCTTTTGTTTTGTTTTGTTTTTTAATAAGTTTGTATTTTATTTTACTTGTTTTTTTTTTTATGTTTTATTTATTTCTGAGAGAGAGACAGTGTGAGCAGGGGAGGGTCAGAGAGAGAGGGAGACACAGAATTTGAAATAGGCTCCAGGCTCCGAGTTAGCTGTCAGCACAGAGCCTGACGCGGGGCTCAAATCACAAACCGTGAGATCATGACCTGAGCCGAAGTCGGATGCTTAACCAACTGAGCCACCCAGGTGCCCCCATCATGACCCTTTGGTATCAGATGATTAGAACATCCTTTTACATTATGAGCAGCAGCAAGCACCCTGTGGGTATTCAGAAACAGCTATTAAATGTACACAATCGTTCTGGAAACCTTAAACTAATAGAATATGAAATTTGCCTAAAACCAGATAGATATCCCCAATTTCTCTCTCTCTTTATTGCACCATTTATAAAGGCAAAAATTACCTGTGGAAGAAGCATGACCAGACTTGAGTTCAAAACCTTATTATGAACTATGGACAAATAACTTAAACTTTATGAGTCTTAGTTTCCTAATCTGTAAAATGGGGATCATAATGCCCATATGCCAGTGTTTTCATGAGGCTAACAGGATCTGTCGACAGTTGTTAGTGTTTAATAAAAGGACCACTATTGTTAGAATTAGCGTACTTACCTGTTACTTGGAAGGGAGCCTGAATGAGCCGCTGCTGAACTCCCCTGAGTAGCTCCTCTATTTCCTTCTGTATATTGCAGACAACCTCTTCCATCAGTCCTACATCAGCTATTCCTTTCCAGAACATCAAAGTGTCCTCTGACACAAGAGGGGTAAGACAGAGGGTAAACAAGAGATGCTACATATACTTAGGCACATGTTTACAAGTTAAACTCTAAATGACTTCAATCTGAACTAATTTCTTGTTGGGCCATTTCTGGGAAAAGGGAAGAAGCTTCTGGAGTACTAGCTGCCTCCTTGAGTTGGCACCCAGTTACTTGGCCTCTTTGGCAACACAGGGACTTGAGATAATTGCCTCAATTTGTCATGGCTCTGGCTACAGGGAGCAGGTGTCTTCCTCTAATAAAGATATTATATTAAATAAATATGAAATATTATTTATTTAAATAATTTAATTTAAAATTAAGTAGTATTTAATATCTTAAGAGTTAAACCATAAAGATATTAAATTAAAGATACACAGTTAAGCCTTGTACAACATGGTGTGAACTGTGAGGGTTTACTTATATACGGATTTTTTTTAATAATACAGTACAGTGATGTAAATTTATTTCTTTATGATTTTAATAACATTTTCTTTTCTCTAGCTTACTTTGTTGGAAGAATACAATATATAATACATATAACATATGTTAATGGACTATGTTTTCAGTAAGGCTTGTAGTTAAAGGTTTTGGGGGAGGGGACAAAACTTATATACAGATTCTCAACTGCACAGGGGGTTGGTGCCACTAACTACCAAGCTACTAAACTACTACAGCCCCTAACTACTAAAAGGTCACCTATACTCCCTCTAGCACTATGCTTGCAAAAATAAAGTAAGACAGCTGAATAGGTGGGATTACAAGATCCCTAAAGGCAGAGGCTATGCCTTTTCATCTATGTTGGCAACAGTGTCAACTAAAAATAGGCAGCAATAATTATTGTTTAAGTGAATTAATGACTGGAGGATGATGTGAAACTTCTCCTGGTCCCTTGTAAGTGAATCATCATTGATCACCATCCTCTACACCACCTGCTACCTAATTTTTTCTTCTACCATCTTGTTGCTTGGTTTATCTAAGAAACGTTTCAAAGTTGGAGGCTGACAGGATGAAAGGCATGGACTCCAGAGTCAAACAGCTGAACTCAGCTCTGACACTACTGGTGGTGTGACAGGTCTTAGGCAAGCTGCTGAACCCTTCTGAATTTCAATTTCTTCCTATGTAAAATGTGACTGTGCAGGGCTGTTGTCGCATGAATTAAAGCACAGTGTTTGCAGCTATAATTAGCATTAATATGCATGAGAAAAACCAGCAAAAATAATTAAGAGGCCTTCTGTGTCCATAATCATAATGGTGAGAAAGGTCACAAAACCCTGCAAGATATCGGAGCTCCATAGTAAAGTACCTGAAATTTCCTCTGAGTCTTTCTTCACACCCTCCTCGGTAGCCATGGTGACAGCAGCAGTGAGAGCTGAGTTCCATTCCAGCCCTGCCTCTTCCATGCTCTCTTCCGAGATGGCAATCTGTGTGATGCTACCTAAAAGCAGTCCATTAGAGGTAAAGACAGTGAATTTCATGAAAAAGTCATAGCTATCTTTTATCTCATGTAGCTAAAGAAACCCTGTTATTTTAACATCCTGGCCTTTTGCCTGTAGGTCCATATATTAAAAACTAGAATCCCTGTAAGCCAGGGTGAATACTGAATTTTTTTCTTTAATGTTTATTTTTGAGAGACAGAGGGAGAGTGCACACACACATATGTGAGCAGGGGAGGGGCTAAGAGAAAGCAAGACATAGGATCCTAAGCAGACCCTGCGCTGAGAGCAGACAGCCCAATGTGCGGCTCAAACTCACAAACCTGTGAGACCATGACCTGAGCCAAAGTTGGACACGTAAAACAACTGAGCCATCTAGGCACCCCAAATACTGGATTTTCTAAAGAAAACCTGCTTTGCAAAACAAAACGCTTTCTTCTTACTCTGAATAGAAAGTGAAAGATAACTTGTAAAATCACAAAAGAGCAATTTGCTTCCTAACCAAGTACATTTTTGAAAGACTGAAGGAGAGCACGATTTGCAGATTGTCTCCTCCAGACCTAGTGAGGATGAGGAGGATCTGAAATAATTTAAAAGTATGGTGCTTAGCCAAGAGCCCTACTACAAGCATATTTGATACTAACCATCTAGAATGTCAGAAGTTGCTATAGTTTATTTACCAGGCTATGTAAAAGAAAGCAAGAGAAACGAGACCAGAACAAACCAGATAAGAAGAGATTTCACAGATGAAAATAAATTTTGCTATTAATATTGTATATTAATATTTTATTTTTTAATGTTTGTTTTTGAGAGGGAGAAAGAGAGTGGAGGAGGGGGGTGAGAGAGAGGGAGACAAAGAATCCAAATCAGGCTCTGTGCTGACAGCAGAGAGCCTGATTCAAGGCTCGAACTCATGAACTGTCAGATCATGACCTGAGCCTAAGTCAGACGCTTAACCGACTGAGCTACCCAGGTGCCCCTATTATTTTATTTAATTTTTTTAAAGTACTCTCTCCACCCAGTATAGGGCTCAAACTCACAACCCCGAGATCAGGAGTTGCATGCTCTACCAACTGAGCCGCAGGCACCCCTCATATGTTAAGATTTTAAACAAAGACAATTGAGAAAAATCAAACTGATCCAGGTAGATATATACACAAGTATGGCCTGCACATGACAGAGGATATCAATAATGAAGCAAAAAAGTAATATTGATATGGATAATCAACTAAAGGAATTTTTGCCAAATAAAAAGTAAATAATTTCATAGCTTTTTTTACTTTTCAAGTGAAAGAATCACATGACCCAAAATTCAAACTGCTAGGTATTTTATACTTTCCTAAAGTATAACTTTACTTTGGAATTTAGGTTCCAAGAGATTTGGCTTCTACTCACCCAGCAGTTACTCACAGAACATTAGGGCTGACCAAAAGAAACCTTGAGAGGTCATTTTTAAAACATGGTACTTCCTTTACATCCATTAGTGCCCTTGTGACTCTGTGAAACATATATGTAAGTTTTCTGGAAGTAGCTGAGACAGCCTAAGAATCTTAGCTGTGCTAAGTCTTCAGATGGACTAACTGAATCCCTTTTGTTTTCCTAAGTTTGTTTGTTTGTTTGTTTAAGTAATCTCTACACTCAGCATGGGGCTCAAACTCATGACCCCGAGATCCAGGGTTGCACACTCTTCCAACAGAGCCAGCCAGGTGCCCTGGACTAACTGAATCCTTAACAATCATCTCACATGACTCCATCTTCCCTGAAGATAGATAGCTCTAATCCCAAGGTCAACGATACTGAAGTTAAGTGTATGCCCATCCTGCCTCATTTGTGAGGAACCCTCTGCCTGGTTATCTGGATACCTTCCAGGCAGAGCTCTTTCATCCTTATGGCAGAGTCTCTGGAGTCCAGTCCAGCCAACCATACATTACCTTTGATACATCTCAGCTCAACAGTTGAAAACCATTCACCATTCTAATCCACTTTCCTGCCTTGACCACTAGTATAGCAAAGGATTTCAAAACAATCTAATTTCAAAGATCCACCAAGTGGCACCAAAGTGAGACCGCTGCATAAGCATAATAACCACTGGACCATCTTTCTAATGTTTACCATGCATTGTAAGAAAGAAACAAGGAAGAAGGTCTGGCCAACAGGAATAATCAGGGAGAAAACAGAGGTCTATTTCTACGGCATGGAAGTGCACCCAAGATTAGCACACTTTACAGGGGCAACAACATTCATGAGAACTGAAATTAGGAAACACAAAAGAGAAATAAGGGGAAAAGTGTTACTAAGAAACGCAGTGGGTTTTCAGGTGGTTTCCTACCCCCTACCATCGGCCGAAGTGGGTGTCTGCACCACACTTGTCTGCTGTCCTGGCACTGGAGCTCTTGCACTGCTGATAAGAAGGTCAAATTTGGTGCTTCTGCAGGTATTGGAGCAAACCTTGTCATGTTGGTAAAAATCAATCTGTCCGGAGTCCATCATTTTCCTGTGCAAAGGGAGACAAGAAGTACCAGTTCAGCCTGCTCTTCGTCTAGATGAAACTAGGCCTCTGGGACCAAGAGACAAAGTTGCTGAGTCTACTCTATATATAAATTAGCACTGAAAGTCATTAGGTTGCAAAAATTCTCATCGGGATTATAAAATTTTCATTGGTCCCGCCCACATTCCTAGTCTGCTCATTAGGAGTATTCTCTCATTTCCCGTTACCGCCAAGCTTTAGGTCCACACTCCTGACAACAGCTGAGTTTCACCATTGAATCTCATTGAAACCAAACCCAAAAGGGAAAAGACTAGTTCATATCCCAGCACAACTGAGAAATGCTATGGGGAATAAGAATTTTGTGATGAGATTCTGATGTATTAGTATTCCTAGACCAGCAAGATCTGTTGCCACTTTTGGAGACATAAAACTTCAGCAATTTCTTTCCTTTAAAAAAAAAAAAAAATGGATAGCAACTCTCCTAGAAATCAGAGCAAAGATGGACAGGAAGTCTCCTATAAATACAGAGCAAAGTTGATTATACTAACCCCCCACTATAAATTGCCCTTATAACCGGATTCGCAAGAGACTGTTATCATAGGCTGTGAACAAACCCATGGGGTATTTTACTTATAGGAAACTCTATGTTATAACATTACTTGGCTTTCACTAAAGATCTTTCAGGCATTCTGATTCCTTATTACATTTGGGGAAAGTTGGCATGTGCTTGTTTTTTTGGGCAAAACAGAACAGGCCAACAACAACAAAAATGAAAGTTAAAAATATTCCTTCCCAATTTCCTTCAACTACTGACTTTTGCATACAAATCATCTGGAATGAATTTTTTTTTAAAATGTGTCTCTGTTAAAGTAATATTTGAAGAAAAAAAGCAATATTTTCTGTGGAAAACATGGAAAGCCACAGAGAAAACAACTGCCATATAAAAAAATGCAACTACAGGGGCGCCTGGGTGGCTCAGTGAGTTAAGCATCTGACTTCAGCTCAGGTCATGATCTCGTGGTTCGTGGGTTCGAGCCCCACATCGGGCTCTGTGCTGACCGCTCAGAGCCTGGAGTCTGCTTCAGATTCTGTGTCTCCTCCCTCTCTCTCTGACCCTCCCCTGCTCATGCTGTCTCTTTCTCTCTCTCTCTCTCTCAGAAATAAATAAAAACATTTAAAAATTTATAAAAATAAATAAAAATTTTTAAAGATTTTAAAAATCCAACAGAGAGATAACTAACATTTTGGCATATTTTCATCTACAAAAGTTTACATACATATGTGTCTGGGGTTTTTTTGTTTTGTTTTGTTTTGAGAAAGAGATTGGGCATGTGTGCGAGCAGGGAAAAGGCAGAGAGGAAGAGAGAGAACCCCAAGCAGTCTCCACACTTACAGTGGGGAGATCCGCATGGGGCTTGATCCCATGAACTATGAGATCATGACCTGGGCCGAAATCAAGAGTCAGGTGTTCAACCGATTGAGCCATCTAGGCATCCCCATATGTGTGGATTTTTTTGTTTTTGTTTTTGTTTTTTATTTATTTCTAGGAGAGAGAGAGACAGCGTGAGCAGGGGAGGGCCAGAGAGAGAGGGAGTCACAGACCGAAACAGGCTCCAAGCTCCAAGCTGGCAGTCAGCACAGAGCCCGACGCGGGGCCCAAACCCACAAACCGCAAGACCATGACCCAAGCGAAAGTCAGACGCTCAACCGACTAAGCCACCCAGGCGCCCTGCCATATGTGTGTTTTTTAACACAACTAAAATCACATTGTTTAATTGTGATTAAACAGACATATGTGTAATCACATTGTTTAATCAATTGTGTGTGTGTGTGTGTGTATACTTTTTTTTAAGTAATCTCCACACCCAATGTGGGGCTTGAACTCACAACCCTGAGATCAAGAGTCACATGCTTCACTGACTGAGCCAGCCAGGTGTCCTCGATTTTGTATTTTGTTTTCTTTCATTATATCATAAGCAGTTTTCCATGTAAAAACTCTTCAGAAATATGTTTTTAAAATTTTTTATGTTTTACTTATTTCTAAGAGAGAGAGAGAGAGACAGTGGGAGCAGGGGAGGGTCAGGGAGAGGAGACACAGAACTGGAAGCAGGCTCCAGGCTCTGAGCTAGCTTTCAGCACAGAGCCCAACGCAGGGCTCGAACTCACAAACCGTGTGATCATGACCTGAGCCAAAGTCCAACGTTTAACCTACTGAGCCACCCAGGCACCCCAAGTGTCTGACTTTTGATTTCGGCTCATAGGATGGTGCCCTGCACTGGGCTCTGCACTGAGCACAGAGCCTACTTGGGATTCTCTCTCTTTCCCTCTGCACCCCTCACCCCCACACACTCTCTCTCTCTCTTAAAAAAGTAAAATAAAATTAGGGGCACCTGAGTGGCTCAGTTGGTTAAGTGTCCAACTTTGGCTCAGGTCATGATCTCGCAGTTTGTGAATTCTAGCCCCACGTCAGGCTCTGTGCTAACAGCTCAGAACCTGGAGCCTGCTTCAGATTCTGTGTCTCCCTCTCTCTCTCTCTGTCCCTCCTCTGCTTCAACTCTGTTTCTCTCTCTCTCTCAAAAATAAACACACTAAAACTTTTTATAATTAAATTAAATTTAAAAATTAATAAAATTTGGGGGCACCTGGATGGCTCAGTGGGTTAAGTATCTGACTTCAGCTCAGGCCATGATTTCATGCTTTGTGAGTTCAAGCCCCACATTGGGCTTGGGATTCTCTTTCTCCCTTTCCCTCTGACCCTCCTCCACTCATTCTCTCAAAATAAATAATAAATACACTTAAAAATAAATTAATACATACATACATACATACATACATACATAAATTAAAATCTCAAAAAAAATGACCTCAGGGCACCTGGGTGGCTCAGTTAGTTAAGCGACTGACTTCAGCTCAGGTCTTGATCTCACGGCTCATGAGTTCACACAGAGCCCACTTCGCTTTGGATCCTCTGTCTCCCACATTGTCTGCCCTTCCTACACTCAAGCTCTCTCTCAAAAATAAACATTAATTAAAAAAAAATAAAGACAAAGGGTAAGATGTTCTTAAGGCTGTTGATACATGTTTTGTGGGGCACTTTCCATTCTTGACCACAATTTAAAATCTTCTATTGGTAAGTGAGAGCTCAAGGATGACCAATTAATGTTAATCTTCATCGGGGTGGGGGGAGTGGATTACAATAATAAATTTGCTGTATAAAGAGATGGGGTGAGGGTATTACACAATATTTTTAAAAAAACTTTAAATTTATTTTTATTTTTTTAACTGGATTTTATTTTGTTTTTTAATTTTTTAAAATGTTTTATTTACTTCTGGGGCGCCTGGGTGGCTTAGTTGGTTAAGCGTCCGACTTTCGCTTAGGTCATGATCTCGCGGTTCGTGGGTTCGAGCCCCGCGTCGGGCTCTGTGCTGGCTGCCAGCTCGGAGCCTGGAGCCTGTTTCAGTCTGTGACTCCCTCTCTCTCTGACCCTCCCCTGTTCATGCTGTCTCTCTCTCTCTCCTAGAAATAAATAAAAATAAAAAAAAAAAAAAAAAGTTTTATTTACTTCTGAGAGAGAGAGAGAGACAGCGTGAGCAGAGGAGGGTCAGAGACAGAGGGAGACACAGAATCTGAAACAAGCTCCAGGCTCTGAGCTGGCTGTCAGCACAGAGCCCAATGCGGGGCTCAAACCCACAAACCGTGAGACCATGACCTGAGCTGAAGTTGGACGCTCAACTGACTGAGCCACCCAGGCGCCCCTATTTTTTTATTTTTTACTTTAAAAAAATATTTACTTATTTATTTTGAGAGAGAGGGAAGGGAAGGAGAGAGAGACAGAGAAAGAGAGAGCATGCACATGGGGGAGGGGCAGAGAGAAAAGAAAAGAGAGAATCCCAACCAGGCTCCATGCTGTCAGTGCAGAGTCTGATGAAGGGCTCAGACGCATGAACTGTGAGATCATGACCTGAGCCGAGATCAAGAGTCGGATGCTTAACTGACTGAGCCACCCAAGTGCTCCTAATTTTATTTTCATGTTTGTTTATTTCGGGAGAGAGAGAGAAAAAGAAACTAATTGGGGGAGAGATAGAAAGAGATGGAGAGAGGGAAATCCCAAGCAGGCTCTGTGCTATCAGCAGGGAGCCCAATGTGGGGCTTGAGTTCACCAACTATGAGATCATGACCTGAGCTGAAATCAAGAGTCAGACACTCAACTGACTCAGCCACACAGGTGCCACATTTTTTAAAAATAAGGCTTTATGCCCAGCACAGAGTCCAACATGGGGTGTACACTAAGATCAAGACCTGAGCAGAGATCAAGAGTCGTGCTCTTAACTGACTGAGACACCCAGGCATCTCAAGGGTATTACACATTCTGAAGTTTATTTCTGTGATTCAATGATGGCAAGGATTGCATTCACTAAGCATGATTGTTACTTATCAACAGCACCCTCTATTTTACCATATTATCCCAGAACTTGTCAGTCAGCCTATACTTTTCCATGGTCATCATGCTTCCTCAGCACCAGGCTTAGCTCTGCCTGCACTTGCTGATCTCAAGTAGGACTGTCATCTACTCCCAAACTTCTCTGTCCAGAAAGGATCCTAACATCCTGACATCAGACAACATTTGCCTTAGATGCTGGAAGAATAAATTTAATTCAATCTTTCGTTTCTCACAGGGATTTTAAGAACAAGCTGGGGTGCCTGGGTGGCTTAGTCGATTGAAGGTCCAACTCTTGGTTTCAGCTCAAGTCATTATCTCATGGTTCATGGGTTCAAGCCCCTTATCAGGCTTTGTGCTGACAGTGCGGAGCCTGCTTAGGATCCTCTCTCTCTCCCCTTCTCTCTCTGCCTCTCTCCTGCTTGCTCGCTCACTCTCTCTCTCTCTCTTTCAAAATAAATAAAAAAACTTAAAAAAAAAAAAAGAACAAACTGATGAAGGTCAATACATGGGTTGCTCAAGCCAATTCTTCAAAGGGAAAAAAATTCTAAATTAAAGAGAAAATATGGAGTTATCTATATTCTACCATGATTAAATGCCACATAGTCCGTTGAAAAGTATGTGCTTCTTTATTTTTATTATTTTGTTTTTTTAAGTAATCTCTGTATTCAACGTGGGGCTCTGAGATCAAGAGGTGCACACTCTCCTACCTGAGCCTGTCAGGCACCCTGGTACGTGCTTGTTATTAAAGCTCACCTGAGCATGATTCCACCCAGACGAATGGCTCTCTTCCAGTCCTTTAGGGTAGACTTGCCAGCCAGATGAACAAAATGCTTAGGGCTGATCAACTGATCATTGAACTAAAGGAAAAGGAAAAATCCAAAATAAATCAAGGTCAACTGAGGCAGGCCCAAAGGAAAAGAAAGGTAACTCTACTTGTTATATATGAAAAGTGCCCGGAGAGCATCTTAAGTCATAGGCTTGGATCCTCCAGCCTCCTGCCCTGTAGCGCCAGAGAAGATGACCCTTCCCTGGGCACAGTGCCCTATCTTGGTACAAAGCTACAGAAGACACAGGAAGGATCAGAGATTAATATACTGATTAGCATCTGAAATCCATTTATGCCCAAAATCAGGCAATTGGGTTCATGTTGCAAAGGCTGTTTAAACAAACTGAAATAACCTACCTAGCCCTAATGACAAGATTCAGGATATGGTGGAAGGAGTAAGTACCATAGAAACCATTATCATTGCAGAGCCTCAAAATTCTGTAATCCTTCGTGATTCTAGGATGATACCACTGATGGTGACTACTCTCTATGGGTATAGTCGTGACTACCATTGGCAACAGAATAAGCAATTATTTCCACATTGTGCTCTCATGAAAATTTATTTTTATCAGTGATAAATTTCAAAACCTCTACCATAATGCACACTTGTATAAGGCATTTTATACGTTATCTCATTTCATGTCCTTGCAACCTTATAGTATGTGTGTGTTGAGTGTGTATGATTATTCATATTTTAACATACAAGCCTTTGAAATACCAAATAACTTATTCAAGGTCACCCAGCTAGTCAGTCATAGAGACGGGAATCCATTCATTCATTCATTCATTCATTCATTCATTCAACAAATATTTATTGATTAATATGCCAAACATCATTCTAGGTGCTGGGGATACACTGGTAAACAAGACAAACAAGTTCTCAGCTCTTATAGACCTTGTGTTCTGTGTGGGACTTGAATCCAGGTCAATTTCACTCCAAAGTCCTTATTTTTTTCTACTGTGACAGCATGGGACTATAGCCACAAAATTGAAAACACTGGTATGGTAGATAAGCGAGAAGAAGCACTCAAACTAGACGCTTTGTAAACAAGGAGCCCCAAAACAGGCCCCAGCAAGGAGAAAAGACAATTACCTTGACACATTTCACATTTATTCCTGGACATACAAACTTCTTCCAGAGGAGAATGGCTTTGCTCTCCCCACAAGTTATGGGGTAAGCAATTTCCATATCCTCATTTGCTTCTATAGTGCTTGCATCTGAAAATGGAAAAAAAAATATCGGTTATTTATCGAACACTTTCACCCCAAAAGCTTAATTCAAAATCTCTACTTTTCTGGTTTCTCTAAGAAGCTAACAGTTCACACTGGCTGGTATTATTTAGGAATCTTCTGGAACAAGTTTGGCATACCAGCTTTCTTACCATGCTCACACTATGTGCCAGACACTGTCCTTTGTGCTTTTACATGCTTAATCTTTTTTTTTTTTTTTTTTTTACAAATAGTTTATTGTCAAATTAGTTTCTACATACATGCTTAATCTTATTTAGTTCTTACGACAATCCTGTGAGGCAGTGACTGTCTCCTATGTAGGTATGTGGGACTGGGAAAGGTGAAGTGACTTTCCCAAGGACGCACAGCTAAGGAGTGAGGAAATAGGATTTAAAATCTGGCTCGCCTAACTTCAAAGTGTTTTGTTTTTTTTTTTTTTCTTCCATTTCTTTCCACTGATTGTCTTCCAATCACCACTTCCTATATCCTCGTCAGCAACTTCTTAAATGACAGGATCAACCTTGAGGCTCCAATTTCTTTGTGGAATTTTTGTAGACGAAAAATCTTTTCAGCATCCTAGCAAACTGATGTTCAACCATCAGCTGACAGCTCTAGCATCTTAGTGGTGTCTCTAAATGTGCCACCATCAAATCGATGGCTGCAGCATTGGTAGGGCACACTGGGTTTGGAGGGGGAAAGCATAAGGCACAAAAGGCAAGAAATTTCAACCAAGGAAGCTAAGGTCAAAGGCAAGAGAATAATGAAACGACTTACCAATTCCTTCTTCAATTTTGTGAATTGTGTGAGTTTCTACTGCCACGACTGCTGTGTTGTTCTCGGACCCAGGTTCATAAATCCTGTTGTAAAAGTGTCCATCGATAAACAAACTACATAAATCATGAAAAAATTAATATTCACAGCATGGGGTTAAGAAATTTCTTATAATCTATCTCAAAAGGAATAAAATAAATATACTCTACAGCTCTATGTTAGTGCTTTGACTAGTTCCTCATTGTATTTACATTCCAAGCTGCCGAGGATGGCTTAGCAGCCACTACCATGCACATGAATCAACAACTTTCCTCACCTCAAAGCCAAGTTCCTCTTGCTACTGTCTTTACACCAGACTTTTTCCTTCCTAAATTTAAAAAGGCTTCTGACATAAAATGTTGCTCCAAGTATAAGATTAAGTCATATTATAGGATTATCCTAACAAGATTAAAAAGTAATACTGTTGGACAATTCAAGACAGGAAGAACCCATTGACTATAGAACCTGATGTCCTTTGTTGGAATCCAGACACTTCAGTCTTTTTTTAAGCACTTCTGCATTTTTCAAAGACTCATAACCAAACTATTGACATGAACAGAGCCTAGTTAAAAACTATGCCCAAGGGGCGCCTGGGTGGCTCAGTTGGTTAAGTGTCCGACTTCGGCTCAGGTCATGATCTCACGGTTTGTGGGTTCGAGCCCCACGTTGGGCTCTGTGCTGACAGCTAGCTCAGAGCCTGGAGCCTGTTTCAGCTTCTGTGCCTCCCTCTCTCTCTGACCCTCCCCTCCTCGCACTGTCTCTCTCTCAGAAATTAAAAAAAAAAAAAAAAAACCTATGCCCAAAGCAACTAGCATTAACTAGAGATACCATCTCAGGAAAACTCTCTAAAATGTCTCTACCTTCTAAAAAATGTGCTCAAATAACCTATTAAAATACACGGATGACCTCTGTTTAATTTTTATAATAAACAATGCATTAGCAACTGCATCTTGTTGTCTGAAAGCACTGTCTGAATAATATCCCGTGTATCAGTCAGTGCTCACCCACCCCTGTGGGGACACCTCTAGCACAGATCTCTCCCCTGACTTTCACATCAGAATACAATTAACTGCTAACTGAATAAATACGTTGGGATGTGCCACAGGGCTTTGTTGAATTCATTATGTCTAAAATAAATAAGTTCTCTTCTCTCTCCCAAACCGCTCTTCTATTCCCTATCCTTCTTACTGGCATCATCTAGCACTTTATAGCCTAAGACAGAAGCCTGGGAATTTCATCAGATTTCTCCCTTCTCCTCCTCCTCACCTCCCACATGCTCAGCCACCAAATCCTACCAGATGTATCTCCTTAACACCAGCCAGACTCTCTGTCTCTTTTTCCACTGCTACTGCCTTAATTCAGGCTGCATCATCTCTAGTCTGAACTAGTCTCCTTGCATCTACCTGATCTTCTATATTCCTACCAGAGTGATCACATAAATCCCTTCTGAAAACCCATCAAGAACTCTCTACTTGCTGTTATAATAAAGCCCCAAATCCTTAATAGGATATTTTAAGTTGCTCTAAGATTTGGCCCCTGGTTTCAGCTCTCCTATAACTCACCTTATAATCCAAGCCCCAGTCATACCAAATTACTTGTGGTTCTCAGAACTGTCATCTTCTTTTACACCTTCTTTGTTCTAATTTTCTTCTTTCCCCAGAACATGCTTCCCCATCTATTTGTGTATTTGTGGGGGTTTTTTGAAGACTGTATTTGTTTATTTATTTATTAAATGTTTATTTATTTTGAGAGATAAGGAGAGCACACATGAGTGGGGAGAGGGGTAGAGAGAATCCCAAGTAGGCTCCATGCTGCCAGCACAGAGCCCAACATAGGGTTCGATCCCATAAACTGAGATCATGACTTGAATCAAAGTCAAGAGTCAGAAGCTCAACTGACTGAGCCACCCAGGTACCCCCAAGATTTTATTCTTAAGTAATCTCTACACCCAACATGGGGCTTGAACTTACAACCCTAAGATCAAGAATTGCATGTTCTACTCACTGAGCCAGCAAGGTGCCCTCTACTTTCTTTTTAATGAGTAACCTCTATGATGCTTTTCCTTCCATATTAATCTCTCCAGTATAATCACCTCCTTCCTTCTTTGTGACCCAATGTACTTTAGGCTTTTGTTACAACACATATAACACTTAACACTGTATGTTTGTTTACCTGCCTGCCTTCCCTTGGCCATGGTCTAAGAGGTCCCTGAGAGCAGATTATGTCTTCTTTACTTAGCAGTTTTGCACGTCTAGTGTGTCAAATACTAACTGGAACATGACAAAGCACTCAATAAGTGGTTGGTTGGTGGTGAATGAGGATTATGATAAACATGAGTAATCACTGCTTCAAGTAAGTTCGGTAAACTCACTCTAAATTGACCAATATATGCAAAAATTCTTTTCTTTTTTCCTTAGGGTGCAATTCTTGGGGTGCCTGACTGGCTCAGTCAAGTAAGTGGCTGACTCTTGATTTCGGCTCAGGTCATAATTTCACAGTTCATGATTTGGAGACCCACACCAGGCTCTGCACTGATGGCACGGAGCCTGCTTGGGGTTGTCACTCTCTCCTGTCTCTCTGCCTCTTCTCTGCTTGTGCTCTCTCTCTCTCTCTCAAAATAAATAAAATTTAAAAAAAGAAGAAGAAATTCTCATTTATACATAATTTCAACAACCAGTGAATTGCACTGGTAGTGGGAAGTATGGGCACAGTCTATATTTTTATAAGTAAACAAGGTTTTATAAAAAAAAAAAATTTCTAGGGCACCTGAGTGGCTTAGTTGGTTAAATGTCTGACTCTTGATTTTGGCTCAGGTCATGATCTCACAATATGTGAGATCAATCCCCGCGTCAGGCTCTGTGCTGACAGCGTGGAACCTGTTTAGGATTCTCTCTCTCTTTCTACTCCTCCCCTACTCGCTCGCATGGGTGTGCACTCTCTCTCTCAAAATAAACTTTAAAAAAAAAAAGGAAAAGAAAAAGTTTCCTAAAGCAACTCAGAATAGTAATGGCTTAGCTCAATTCTCTATATCTACTACAACTATAGTAAAACATCATAAAATATGTTGAAACGTTAAGGGACTGGAAGATAGTGACATACCTTGTGAATCACCAAAGGAAGGTAAAATTGTTTACCAGAGCTTTAAAATTAAGTCTACATCATTGTATTCTAATTCTCTGAAAACCCACATATAATTAAGTTCTTTTTTTAAATTTTTTAATGTTTTGGGGTGCCTGGGTGGCTTAGTCGGTTGAGCGTCCGACTTTTGCTTAAGTCATGATCTCGCGGTTCGCGGGTTCGAGCCCCGCGTCGGGCTCTGTGCTGACTGCCAGCTCAGAGCCTGGAGCCTGTTTCAGTCTGTGACTCCCTCTCTCTCTGACCTTCCCCTGCTCATGCTGTCTCTCTCTCTCTCCTAAGAAATAAGCAAAACATTAAAAAAAAAAAAAACTTTACTTAAATTTTTTAATGTTTTATTTATTTCTGAGAGAGACAGACAGAGACAGAGAGAGACAGCATAAGCAGGGGAGGGTCAGAGAGAGAGGAAGATACAGAATCTGAAACAGGCTCCAGGCTCTGAGCTGGCTGTCAGCACAGCGCCTGACGCAGGGCTCGAACCCACGAACTGCAAGATCATGACCTGAGCCGAAGTCGGACGCTTAACCAACTGAGCCACCCAGGTGCCCCTAAGTTCTTTTTTTAATGTTTATTTATTTTTGAGAGACAGAGACACAGTATATGTGAGGGAGGGGCAGAGAGAGAGAGGGAGACACAGAATCCCAAGCAGGCTCCAGGCTCCGAACTGTCAGCACAGAGCACAATGCAGAACTTGAACCCACAAACCATGAAATCATGACCTAAGCTGAAGTCTGACACTTAGCCAACTGAGCCATCCAGGTGCCCCTATAGTTAAGTTCTTTCTATCCAGAATGTTAAGGGAAGAAATTCTGATTAACTGAATGTTAGATTAAGATTGTTACATAAACTAAGTGGTACCTTACTGATTTGAAAGAGCTTATACATATAGGCTTTAAACTTTCTCTTAGAGAGGGATAGGAGTATGAAAGGGAAAGTAGGGCCAATACTCTTCAAACTGATGATACATTTGGGTTGAATGTCCTCTTCAGGAGAAGAAAAAAGCCAGTCAGGACGCTCAGTAAATTTATGTAGTACACTAAAATCCCCAGTCCCTGGTGATGTTAAAAACTATTATGAATCCACAGGGCGCCTGGGTGGTTCAGTCGGTTTAGCGTCCAGCTTTGGCTCAGGTCATGATCTCGCGGTTCATGGGTTCAAGCCCCATGTTGGGCTCTGTGCTGACAGCCAGCTCAGAGCCTAGAGCCTGTTTCAGATTCTGTATCTCCCTCTCTCTCTGACCCTCCCCTGCTCATGCTGTCACTCTCTGACTCTCAAAAATAAAATAAAAAACATTAAAAAATTAAAAAAAAAAAACTATTATGAACCCAAAATGAACTGGACAGCCAAGAACAATGATGGACTCCTAATACCTTCACTCCCCGCGATAACTTCTTTTTTTTTTTTTTTTAAAGTAAGCTCTATGCCCAATATGGGGCTTGAACTCACAGCCCTGAGACCAAGAACTGTGTACCCTACCAACTGTGCCAGCCAGGTATCCCCTGCACCACAACTTTTTGAGTATAAGAAACTATATTTGAAAAAGTTAATAACAATTTTCTGGTTTTTTTTTTTTTTTTTTTTTAGAGAAAGCATATGCTGAACAAATCTTCTGTGCTGAAAATCTCCTAGGATTAACTTTTAAGAAAAGTTAAATATAGGCATATTTTTAAAAAATGTTATTTTATATTTGAGAGAGAGACAGAGTGCAAGTAGGGGAGGGGAGAGGGAGAGGGAGACACAGAATCTGAAGCAGGCTCCAGGCACTGAACCATGAGATCATGACCTGAGCCAAACTCGGACGCTTAACTGACAGAACCCCCCAGGCACCCCAAATGTAGACATATTTTAAAGTCAATCTAGTGTTATTCTGAAAGTGTCATTAAAAAAAAAAAGTCACCTGGGGCACCTGAGTGGCTCAGTCGGTTGAATGTCTGACTTCGGCTCATGTCACGATCTCACAACTCATGGGTTCGAGCCCCGTGTCAGGTTCGGTGCTGACAGCTCAGAGCCTGGAGCTTGCTTCCAATTCTGTCTCTCCCTCTCTCTGACCCTCCCCTGCTCATGCCCAGTCTTTCTCTGTCTCAGAAATAAATAACATTAAAAAAAAAAGTAATCTTCTACAATATGTTAGATTCTACAGGAGAACTTTACCAGCCTCTCTACTTTTGCTTTATAATGTATTCCTGGAAACATGTATGTAATGAATACTTGAAAAAGTACCAGTGAAAAATATCATATATGTAAAAGTTAAAAAAGACATACAGGAGGAGTTCTATATATTGAAATCCAAAAATATTTATAGAGGTGCACCTGGGTAGCTCAGTCATTTAGGTGACCAACTTTGGCTCAGGTCACGATCTTGCAGTTCGAAAGTTTGAGCCTCACGTCAGGCTCTGTGCTGACAGCTCGGAGCCTGCTTCAGATTCTGTGTCTCCTTTTCTACCCTTCCCCAGCTTGCGGTCTGTCTCTCTCTCATTCTCAAATATAAACATTAAAAAACATTTATAGACGGGTCCCTGGGTGGCTCAGTCGGTTAAGCGTCTGACTTCGGCTCAGGTCATGATCTCATGGCTCGTGGGTTCAAGCTCCGCGTCGGGCTCTGTGCTGACAGCCAGCTCAGAGCCTGTAGACTGTTTCAGATTCTGTGTCTCCCTCTCTTGCTGACCCTCCCCTGCTCAAATAAATAAAAAAATTTTAAAAAACATTTAAAAAATTTATAGAAAATCTCTATTTTTTTGCCTTTTGATATCTTTTCCAATCTATTCCCAGCAATTCATATATGTCCTTTGAGTGCTTCTTTCCCTCATGCTTGAACTTGCTGTTAATCAGGTTAAGCATGACTGAGGCTAAAGACCTTATGATTTCCATCTTTGTCTCAATGGTGTTAAATTCATGAGACCTATACTTTTTTCTTAGCATAGTTAACATATAATATTACATTAGTTTCACTGTGCCCAATAAAATGGATTTGACAAATTTATACATTATGCTATGTTTGCCACCAGGGTAGCTTCCATCTGGCCCTATATATCCCTCTTACAATATCACTGACTATGTTCCTTAATGCAGTGCCTTTTACTGATGTGATTTATTCATTCCATAAGTGGAAGACTGTATCTGACACCGTACTTCTTACCATTAGCATCAATGCCTTTGTTCTCTGCTAAAATGCAACAAAATATCCAGATAATTAAAAAATACAGGGCCCCTGGTTAGCTCAATCAGAAGAATGAGCCTCTCTCAATCTTGGGGTTGTGAGTTCAAGTCCCACATTGGGCTCAGAGATTACTTAAAAATAAATTAATTTAAAAATATAACTAGAGGGGTACCTGGATGGCTCAGTGAGTTGAGCATCCGACTTCGGCTCAGGTCACAATCTCATGGCTCGTGGGTTCAAGCCCTGCACCGAGTTCTGTGCTGAGCCCCGCATCAAGTTTTGTGCTGACGGCTCAGAGCCTGGGGCTTGTTTCAGATTCTGTGTCTCCCTCTCTCTCTGCCCCTCCCCCACTCGTGTCTCTCTCTGACTCAAAAATAAATAAAACAAACAAAAAAATTAAAAATATATATACAGCTAGAGAAATCAATTCAACATTGATTGGCAAGCATTTCAAAATGCAGAACCTGAAAATGTGTTCACTAGCGTGATAGTAAATTCCATATGTGGCACAAAGATGCCTATAACCTAATTAAGCAATGAGAAGTTTCCCGAAAAGGCAATCTCATTTGGAAAATAAAAAGACATACAGACGCACAAAATAAGTGGAACTAATCTTTAAAATAATTAACTCTCTAAGCAGTTGAGAAGTGTCTTCTGTCTCCAGAAGGGACAGGAAAGTGACAAGTGGAGCACTTTAGGAAAGCCAGAAGAAACAATGACTCCAGGAGAAAATAAAGCTGCCATGCATGAAAGAATCTATGCTTTAACTCTTCCCCATGTTCCCCTTCCTCAAAGGGTAACAACTACAGGTATGTGTGTGTATGTAACAAATGAAATCCCAAACAAGTGAATTTGAATAGGCATGCGTGGTGCCAATAAAAATTTTAATCACTTTATCTATTACATGTCAGTACTTACTATTATTCTTTAAAGATTTTATTTTATTTTATTTTTTTAAAATTTTTTTTAAATGTTTTTTATTTATTTCTAGGAGACAGAGAGAGACAGCATGAGCAGGGGAGGGTCAGAGAGAGAGGGAGTCACAGACTGAAACAGGCTTCAGGCTCTGAGCTGGCAGTCAGCACAGAGCCCGACGCGGGGCTCGAACCCGCGAACCGCGAGATCATGACTTAGGCGAAAGTCAGACGCTTAACCGACTAAGCCACCCAGGCGCCCCTAAAGATTTTATTTTTTTTAAGTAAACTCTACCCCCAAAGTGGGGCTTGGACTCACAATCCTGAGATCAAGAGTCACATGCTCCACTTACTAAGCCAGCCAGGTGCCCTTGTCAGTAATTTATATCAACTTTCCCTTACAGCTCTTAGAATATTTCCTTCAATATTCAGAGATGTCAGCAAACTATGGTTTTATATATATATATATATATATATATGTGTGTGTGTGTGTGTGTGTCTATATACATACACATACACACACATATTTAAATGTTTATTTTTATTTTTTTAATTTTTTTTTTAACTTTTATTTATTTTGGAGAGACAGAAAGAGACAGAGCATGCACAGGGGAGCAGCAGAGAGGGAAGGAGATACAGAATCCGAAGACAGGCTCCAAGCTCTGGGCTGTCAGCATAGAGGCCAAAGCGGGGCTCAAACCCATGAACTACGAGATCATGACCTGAGCTGAAGTTGGAGGCTCAACTGACTGAGCCACCCAGGCGCCCCTAAATATTTATTTTTGAGAGAGAAAGAGCGAGAGGGAGAAAGAGGGTGCGCTAGTGGGGGAGGGGCAGAAAGAGAGGTAAGCAGAGGATCTAAAGCAGGCTCTTTGCTGATAGCAGATGCATGACTGGAATTCATTAACCTTGAGACCATGACCTGAGCCTAAGCCGGACACTTAACTAACTGAGTCACCCAGGTACCCGATGAAATTTCTTATACTAAAAAGTTTTTTAGGTTACCAAGCGAGGTTAACTGTCTTTCTCCAGAAGTGTTTTTTGTTTTTGTTTTTTTTTTTTTTTTAAATTTTTTATTTATTTCTAGGAGAGAGAGAGACAGCGTGAGCAGGGGAGGGTCAGAGAGAGAGGGAGACACAGACTGAAACAGGCTCCAGGCTCTGAGCTGGCAGTCAGCACAGAGCCCGACGCGGGGCTCAAACCCACGAACCGCGAGATCATGACCTAAGCGAAAGTCGGACGCTTAACCGACTAAGCCATTCAGGTGCCCCTCTCCAGAAGTGTTTAAGATAAAGTACATTACTTAGTAGATTGGGTTTGGATTATGTGTTTGCCCAAGAACATATTTTTTTCTTTTTTAAGTAATCTCTATGCCCAACATTGGGCTTGAACTTACAACCCCAAGATCAAGCGTTGCACACGCCACTGACTGAGCCAGGTAGGAACCCCAAGAACATTTCTTTTTTTTTTTTTTTTTTTAGTTTATTTCTAGGAGAGAGAGAGAGACAGCGTGAGCAGGGGAGGGTCAGAGAGAGAGGGAGTCACAGACTGAAACAGGCTCCAGGCTCCGAACTGGCAGAGCCACCCAGGCGCCCCCCCCAAGAACATTTCTAATCCTATGAAGAATCTTTTATACATTCCTCAAGATAAAATAAATATCTTTCCCTTCTCTCTGTAGATTTAATTCTTATTTAACCTTCAAGACCATTTAAAAAATCTTCTCTCTTCTTCCAAATTCATAGTGATGAATTCAAGCTACTTCCTAACCATGACACTCAGCACTTCTTAGATTTGCCATGTAAGTGACCTCCTTATTTACATATATGTATTTTTGGTTTGTACAACTAAGACTGCAAGTTCCATGATGGTGGGAACCGTGTGCTATATTTCTTCCAATACTTTGTAATATATAGTATAATAGTAGGTGGTCGATACATATTATTTGATAAACTAAGCTTGATTAATTTGCCCATCCTTTAGGGTCCAGATCCCTTCTGGTAGGAAAAGTTTTGTAGTTGCCTTGCCTAATCGCCTCTGACTCTATAACTACACTGTCTTTCGGTAAACATGTACCAAGTCTCTGGGCTACCCAGTGTGGACAAATAAGAAGAGGGAGCCATGTAACTTACCCTCAGAGGAGCTTACAGTGGAAAAGAGGGAGAGAGGCAAGGACACAGTTTACTGTTGTAAGAAGTATTAAGCTAACAAATACAGCACACAATATTTTATAAAGATGTGCCGAGAGATTGATGCTAAATGTTCCATTGTGCTAAGCAACCAGAGAGCTAAAACTTTCCCACTCTTGAAGCCTCCCACATTTTTCAGAATATCCAAATCTCTAATTACTTACCCTTGCTGCACAGGCTGTAACTGCAAGATCACTTGGGTTTTAGTGTCTTCAGGGTTCTCCCCTTCATTTCCTTCAGTGGGAACCACAACCACATCCCCCACTGGAACACTTACTTCTGCATTAGCCATCTTTCACATGAAGTCAGATAGCTGGGCTGTTGTCAGAAACAAGAAGCATCAGTGACTTTGTCTGGGTTGAAAAGACAGCAACTCTAGGAAAAGAACACCAGGATAATTGTGACTACCAACTCTGAGATCACGGTCCTCTGAAAAGGTGAGAAGGGGCTGACGGGCTCTGATCTTTCCAGACATGCTCTAGTACTCACTTGCTGATTTAGGTTTTCTTAGTATGTGATTCACCCAGTGCTGGGCTGGAGCCTGCTCCCGAGAACCAACTGTGCACATCTCTTCCCACCTCCGAGTTTAGTGACATCAAGTTGGTGGCTTGCAATCAGTGATGCCGGGAGTACATACACCACAGAAATTGGCAAGCACTACAAATCGGGGTGGTTTTTTTTTTTTTTTTTTTTTTTTTTTCCTGGAGCACTGATTTAGAGCACACCACGAGTTCCATCCCAATCGGTAAACTCCTAGAAAGTAGGAATCATCTTTTTTCTTTGCAACCTGGCATTACACTTCACCAAGTGCTCTGTCCTTTGTGAGTACTTTATAAGTATCCGCTAACTGAACCGTACGGGAAGAAAAATGATTTGCATTGTGCAGTTGTTTAATAAATACTGAATCCGACTGTATGACCTCTAGGAGTTTCTTACTACCTCTTTGCCTCAGACTGAATGCAGAGATAAACTTGCCTGACATCTCCCGTGCAGACTTGTTGGGGAAACCAGTGTCTAGCACCATGTGCTCCTCGACTCTAACATAACTCAAAGCGTAGTCCCAATTTTTTTTAAGTTCATTTAGTTTCAAGAGAGAGAAAGTGGGGAGGGGTAGAGAGGAAGAGAGAATCTTAAGCAGGCTCTTCGCCGTCAGTGTCACATGGAGCTCGATCTCACAAACTGTGAGATCGTGACCTGTGCTGATCGTGGCCTGAGCCAAAAATCGAGGGACGGATGCTGAACCAACCGAGCCACCCAGGCACCCCAGCATCATCCCAATTTTAATGCAAACTCAGAGGGCCCAGGATATTCTGCAACAGTTAGTCCTCACAGTTGCAAAGAAAGGAGCCACTAAAGAGAGTACAGGTAAGAGCATGGTGTTTACTTTCACGTGCCCCTAGGGACATGGTGGGTGCACACTTGAATGTGGGACTGGTAGTCAGACAACTGAATCCACATCATGGCTCTGCCACAGCACTGGTTTGCCTATTCTATGCATACTTAAGCACAGCACTCAAAGTCTCCCTCATTTGGCCCCAAAATATTTTCCCAGTTTTATCTGTAACTGTAATTCCCTGAGAATCTTAAGTGCCAGCCATCCCGGCCTCTGCCTATATTCTGAACAGACAATATGTACCTTCAGGTTTTTAGACCTTTGTTATTCCTTAAGCCCAAACTCTCTTCTTCACTTCCGTTTCCCTTCAAGGCCCAGTTCAAAGTCCACTCCTCCACAAAGCCCCTGCCAAACCATTTAATTTCCTACAGTCCCCCCACACTTTACGTGTAGCTTTCCTCTAGTGGTTACCACACTGTGCTCTGTATTGCAGTTAACTGACCAGACCTCTATCTCCATAACTACACTGTACTCTCCATGAGGGCAGGCACCACTTCTCTAAAAAGCTGGTCTCCACAGCCCTGATCGTCATGGCACTGACACGTTGGTTCAATCTAGTTTGGGTTTTTTTTGTTTTTTTTTTGTTTTTTTTTTAAATTTCTAGGAGAGAGAGAGAGAGACAGCATGAGCAGGGGAGGGTCAGAGAGAGAGGGAGTCACAGACTGAAACAGGCTCCAGGCTCTGAGCTGGCAGTCAGCACAGAGCCCGACGCGGGGCTCGAACCCACGATCCGCGAGATCATGACCTAAGCGAAAGTCAGATGCTTAACCAACTAAGCCACCCAGGCGCCCCCAGTTTGGTTTGTATTTGATCTAGTTAAAATTGCTCATATCAGACTTAGGCTTCTGCCTTTTGTGATTCTCACATTCAAACTTTGTTCCTCAATTCTCTACCACCTGTACCCAAAAGCCTCTTAAAATTTATCTCGTAAGCACCTTCAACTGAACTCATGTTCTCTCACAAACCTGCTCCTGTTTCCCTCCTCCTTAAGTGGCACTATCCTCCACCCATTTTCTCAAGCCAGAAACTAAGGAGTTATTTTTCATTCTTCTCTTTCTAAATCTAATCAACCACCGAATCCTATCCATTCTATCATCTATGTTTCTCTTTTAACCATCCCCCATTCTCCATCTGTGCTGCCACCATATTCTGAGCCACCACCCTACGACTTGAATTTTTCCAGCTGCTTCTCATCAGTATCCTTATCTCTGGTCTTGCTCTCCACTCCATGATCTACAGAGCAGACAAAGTGATCATACTAAAGGCCACAGGCCATTTCCCCATTTCAGAATCCTTCAGAGGATTCCCTTTGCTATTAAAGTGCAGGAATCTTAACAGTGCTTATGGGAATCCTCCAAATCTGTCCTGTCTACACTGCTAGCCTCATTTCTCATAGTTCTTCCTCTCACATTGTGGGCTCCCATCATTGAATTTTTTTTTTTTAATGTTTATTTTTGAGAGACAGAGTGCAAGCAGGGGAGGGGCAGAGAGAGAGAGAGAGAGAGAAAGAGAGAGACAGAATCCGAAGCAGGCTCCAGGCTCTGAGCTGTCAGCCAACACAGAGCCGGATGCAGGGCTTGAACTCACAAACTGACATGACCTGAGGCGAAGTCGGACGTTCAACCAACTGAGCCACCCAGGTGGCTGCATTCGTTTTTTCAATTTCTCAAATATGCCATATTTCACCTGAGCCTTCATGCTTGTTTCTTCTACCTAGAATTCTCTTTTCCTTCCTTTTTGGCTAGTCACTGCTAAACTTTTATAACTTATTTAAAACATCACTTCCTGAGGCATCCAGCTGGCTCAGTTGCTAGAGCAAGAGACTCCTAATGCCAGGATCATGAGTTCAAGCCCCACACTGTGCACAGAGTTTACTTAGTTTACTTTAAACAAACAAATAACATCACTTCGTTAGGGAGGCCTGTGACTTCCTTGACTAGATGTGAACTTGTGTTCTTAGTACCTGCAGCATCCCTGTCATAACCATCATCCCATTTTGTCAGTCTCTCCCCACCAGACTATATCCTGGGAGAGCAAGGATCATCTTTCTTTTTCAATGGCTTCCCTACGCTTAGCTCAGTACCCATGACACAGGAGTACAATAATCAGTTTTCAAATATCAGACTACTATTTACAAAACTGTCTGCCTACCTTGGATCTGAAAAGGGAGAGTACCTGCTCTTTAGGAACTAAACAAAGGAAAGAGATGCATGACGTTGTCATATACTAAAGAAAAAAATTGTAAGATATTACAGTACACTATCTGAACTTCTGTAATTTAAAAGTTTATAATAGGGATAAAAAATGGAATCAATGGACTGGTTCAGCGGGCTGCCAACAGTAGAACCAAACAGTTAGGACCTGAGAGTCTAGAAAAAGACATGAAAGGGATATGACGAAGCATAACAAATGGTATCAAATCCTAGAATAATTGAGCCAATAGGTATTTTCAAATTTTGCACCATTAAATTGTAGCTTGGGAGTGCCCGGGTAGTTCAGACAGTTGAGCATCCAACTCTCGATTTCGGCTCAGGTCATGATCCCAGGATCTTGAGATCAAGCCCCACACCGGAGCTTGGACCTTGATTTGCATCACCGCTAAGCTTTCTTAAGATTCTCCCTCTTCTTCTGCTCCTCCCTCTCTCAAAATAAATAAATAAATAAAACGTAGCTTGAATAGTCACAGCTAACACTTGTTGGACACTTATTCAAGCACTATTCTGTTACTAGTACACATTTAACGAATTTAAAAGATGTAATACTTCGGCATGTAACAAACATGGAATTATTATTCCAAAAACAGTGGTTTAAAAATGTTTAACTAGGGGCGCCTAGGTGGCTTAGTCGGTTAGGCGTCCGACTTTCGCTTAGGTCAGGATCTCGCGGTTCGTGGGTTCGAGCCCCACGTCGGGCTCTGTGCTGACTGCCAGCTCAGAGCCTGGAGCATGTTTCAGTCTGTGACTCCCTCTCTCTCTGACCCTCCCCTGCTCACACTGTCTCTCTCTCTCCTAGAAATAAATAAAACATTAAAAAAAATGTTTAAAAAAAAGTTTAACTAGCTTAAGTATATTAATGGGTTAGATGAGAATTAGAAGGATGCTTCTAGTTTTAACCTTCTACCCTAAGGTTCAGTCCTCTCTACAACACGCTAAGTGGTTGACTAACTAGTTGATTAACACTTTCCTCAATAGGAACTCCTATTTTACTTCTTAGCCCTCCCGCTCCTTAGAACCCAAGAGGAATGTCCTCTAACCTTCTGAGTTTATCCGAGAAGGTAATTATAATCATCCACAATATGTCTTTCAGTGTCAGTAAGAGACACAGGTCTGATCCAACATGGCAATTCTTACATTCTTTAGAGAAGCAAGTTTAGGTTGAATATATCTTATTACCCTAAATACTACATTCCTAACAAGTAACCTGAAACCAGCTCTACAGACTACCCTGGCTAACTGAAAGGTCATCTCTTTGAGGTGAGTAAACTGAAAAGTAGCTCTTGTTTATAGCAACAAAAACTCCTGAGGCAAGATGACTGAGCTGCTCCTTTGGGTATTTCATGGAAGGGGCCTTAGAGTATTCATTGTGTAATCACACAACACTGTAATTGTAGGGAAATACACATAAAGGAAAGCTGTCAAATCTATGTGAAAAGAATTATTTTGTAGTTCTTTTCAGAGACAAAAAAGATACCTTGATCAAAAGTCAGCACAGGACTATTCACATAAACTACTGGAAAACTAAACAAATGACATCTGACCTACTTTGGATTAAATTCATTTTTTGTGTTCCGAAAACGAATGTTTCTTTCTTTTTTTTTTTAAAGTAATCTCTATACCCGACACAGGACTCAAACTCATGACCTCGAGACTAAGAGTCCCATGCACCATCGACTAAGCCAGCCAGGCACCCCTGAAAACTAATGCTTAAAACGTGGCAAAATCACAAGTGTCACATGATCACAGGGACATCAGAGTTGATAGTTGAAAAGGTGAAAGAAATAGCAGATACCCTGAAACATTCTAACCCCAAATTATATTTATTCCATTCTGTATTATAATTTTTGTAGATTGTGTAGTCTATTAAGAAGTTCCCATTATAATATATAATAATAAATATAATAAAGTTAAAACTTCATTATAACTTGAAGCCAAAACTCCTTCATTTTTTTCCTTCTTTATTCCTTCTCATGCATTCAGTGGGTGATCCGGGGTGCTATCAAATGTACCAGAGCCGACAAGAAGCCTACACAGGACCGCTGTGAGGGACATGGCCAAAGCAAATGAAGTTTGGGATAGGTCACATATTGAAGTCGACCATAGAGGTGTTTGGAAAAGCGATGGGATAAAAGGGTTCTTTGAAGAGTCCTCACACTAGACCCTAGGGGACTTCTGCTTAGGACTAGACCAATTTAGGGCCCAAGCTAACCCAAGGAATTTGAGTACAAATTAGCTATTTAATATGTTTGTTGGGGTAAATATGAATAAGTGGTTGACTTATTGATGACTAATGAAAAAAGTCATCAAGTCACCATTTACTAAGTATCCACAATTGATAAAAGGCTTACGAGTTAGGGAAGGCAGTCCAAACACTTAACGTAAAGGTCCTCCAAAAGCACTTTGGTAACATTACTAGAGGCAAGGGAGAAGAATCCCTCTGTAGTTCTAGAATGATCTGATCCTCCCTTTCCCTAATCCTCCAGGTTGAGGGAAACC